TTGGGGAATTTTTTTTTTTTTTTTTTTAAAAAAAAAAAAAAAAAAAATTAACACTTTGGCAGCCACGAAAAAAATTTCATTTTTATTTTACAAATGTTCAAAATAATAAATTTACAAAAAAAAAATTATTTTATTTTTACAAAAAAACGCCAATATCTTATTCATCACAACAAATGTCCATTTGATAACAAATTTTTTAAACGTTGAAATTCTTCATTTTGAAATAAACGTTTTATACCTCTTGGTAAACTACGACATGATTGTAAATTAATAGATTTTAAACTATTTCCACAATGTACGATTAAACGTAGTAATGATTCGAATGTTATTGCTGAACCATGTAAATCAATATTCAATAATTTTATATTATCCGTTGATTGATGACAAATTGAATTGATACATTCATCGATACTTGCCACAGATTTATTCAATGAAATATCAATATCGATCAATGATTTATTCCACTGTTGGGAGAAATCCAAACAAATGATTAATTGTGAAAGGGAAAAAAACGAAAATAATATTACCTTTTGAAACACCTTTCCAATAGTTGTATCATGCATTTTTAAACAATTTGAAATGGATAATTTTTGCAATGATATGGTTGGTATTTGTAAAATACTATTCATTGTTAGATTTTTTGAACCATTAATATTTAATAATTTTAAATTTTTTGATAATTTTGTTAATCGTTCAATTATTTGATCAGAATGACCAACGGAAAACATATAATCCAAATGAAATGGTATATTTAATTCTTCAAGTAATGGCCATCCAACATTATTATCAGTATAAAATGAACTAATCGTCGATTGAAATTTTATATTTGCAGCACGTAATATACGTAAATTTGGACAATAATGTTGAAATTTTTCAATAGAAATTGTTGAACATTTTGTACTAAATGAATGTACATTGGATATATCTAATACTTCTAGATTTGGACATGATTCCTGAAACAAAAACAATTAGATTTTTTTTTTGGCTTGTTCGGAAAATCAACATACCAAAACCATATTGAAACATGTATGAAATGATAACATATTATTTTCGGACATAAACAATGAACGTAATGATTGGCCACATTGTTCAATTAACGGACGAAATGATGATGTTTGAAATGGATTTTGACTGTTATATTGTTGTAATGACTGGAAACAACAACAAAAAATTATAAATTTGAATTATTCATTAAAACTTACCGTAATATTTGATATATTCAATGAATGAAGATTACCAATGTAAACAATAATTGATTGAAAAAATGATACGGTTATATTCGGACAACAACTTATGTTTAATGAATGAATATTATATTCCGAACAATTGGCAAAAAATTCCAATATTTTTATTGCCTGATTGGCATTCCAATTCGATAGATTAATATGTTTGACCGAACGAAATAGACGATTTTCCAAATGTAAATATTGAAATTGTTCTAATGGAAAATTTCTGTAATCAGCAGAAAATCCACTTAAATCAATTGTCGTCCATAATAATGAATTTGTAATGATTAATTGTCGCCAATGTTCACAAACTTGTGATAATCTAAATTATTACAGAAAAATTACAAAATAGACAAAACAAAACAAAATAAAAGCTACCTTATTAATGTAGAAATAGATGAAAATTCGGGTAAATTGGATTCGATTATCCTTTGAAATAATAATATTAATAATTCGGATGGAAATATTTGTTGAAATTCATGTTTATTTGGCTGAAATAGATGATAAAAATCATCGTTTATTTCGTATGACGATGATGTATTTGGATCAGTGATTTGATTGATAATGAAAGCATTTGGATGATTAGTTAAATATTTAATAATATTAGCTTGATTGACCGGTTCATTAGTATCATCAATACAACAATCTTCAGGTTCAGAATCTTGTTTACGTAATAACGATTGAGGTGTTGATTTGTTAGGAATTGTCGTTGTATCTACATTAACAACAGTTGTTGTTGATGATGATGCTGTTGTTGTTGATGATGATGGTAATGTTAAAGATGGTAATGTTTCGTCATTTTGAAAATTGTCGATATTTTTTGGATCATCATCATTTTCGTTTAATGGATCATTTGTTGTCGATTTGGTGGTGGTTGTTTCAAATATATCATTCGATTTTTCAACTTCAACGCTTTCATTTTCAACATTTTGGTCATATTCATTGGAACAATCTGTATATGGAAGAAAAAAGAATGGAAGTTTTTTTGATTAAATTGAAAAAAAACAACAACAAAATAAATGTTTTTCAAAATAATTTTGTTTTTACCTTCATCCAATTTGGATTCGACAATAGTTGTCGTTGGTTGAAATAGATGATAAAAATCATCGTTCATTTCATATGACGATGATGGTAATGATGATGATGGTAATGATGATGATGGTAATGATAAAGATGGTAATGATGATGCTGATGATGATGGTAATGATGATGATGATGATGATGGTAAAAATGATTCGTCGTTTTGAAAATTGTCGAAAGTTTTTTCATTATCATTATTTCCGTTTAATTGATCATTTGTTGTTGATGTTGGTTCGAATATATCATCCGATTTTTCAACATCAACGCTTTCATCTTCAACATTTTGGTCATATTCATTGAAAAAATCTAAATGAAAGAAAAAAGAATGGAATTTTTTGATTAAATTGAAAAAAAACAACAAAATTTTTACCTTCATCAAATTTTGATTCGACAATAGTTGTCGTTAATGATTTTTCTTCTGTTTTATCTTTATTATCATCATCATCATTCGTAAATGTGGCTTTGGTTTCAGCTGATGATTCGATTGTATTATCCAAATCATTTTCCAATTTATCACTTTCTTTTTTCTTTTCTAATTCTTGTTCTTTTTCTTCCAATTTGATTTCTTCATTCGTTTCTAATAATTCAGATTTATGATTATCTGTCAAGTGTACGGTTGCATCATCAAATGTTTTTACAATTTTTTTGCAAAAATCTTTATGAAAAAGAAAGAATGGAATTTGAAAAATTAGCAGGTTGAAATAATCATTCTTGGTACATATACATACTGCACATTAATCGGGTTGTAATTTGTGGATATTCATCATCTTTATTATTTTGTTTGTTGTAAATTATTCCTTTAATATTTTGAAAATATTTTTTCAAAATCTGTTGTTCATTATTCGGTTGTTTATTATTCTGATTATAATGGACAACATCATTCATATTTGGCGTGTTGATAACATCAATCAAACGTTGTCGTTTATTATTTTGTTGATGAAAACGATTTGGCCATGATTGTTGCGGTAATGAATAATTACCGTATTGCGATACGGAATGATAAGACATTTTTTTTTAAATTGCGGAATCGATTGAATGTTTGAAAAAAAAGAATCCAATTTCAAATATTTAAAAACACAAAAAAAAATCAACAACAACAAAAAATGGTCGAAACAAAATGATAAGAATATTTGAAGACAAACACACTGGACTTTTAAAAAACAAATAAAAAACACATACATGGTTTTGAAGACACATGTGTATGGAAAGCTAGGATATTTTTGTTTACCTCTGGGTTGTTTTTTTTTGGTATACATTGCTGTTACTGTGTGTGATTTGGTTCGTATACACACCCCCTCAAGTGATAAGGTAATTTTTACTTTTTTCGTTTGGCTATTTTTTTTCTTTACCAAATGATAAACAACAACAGAAAAAAAACAAAAAAAAAACTTTTTTTTTTTGTTGCTAAATATACCTGTATAAAGCAAACTCTTTTTCAAATCGTTATTATATTTTTTGAATATGTTTTTTATTATTGTAATAATAATAACAAATATCATTAACCGTAATGAGAAAATTTCAATTTACAATCAATCAAATGTCTTAAATCTTTCACGGTTTTAAATATTTTAAAACAATCTTTACATTTAGGTGGAATATTTTTATAATTACTTCCACGGTATAATTCGGCCAAGAAAGGAACTAATTTTTTTTTTCACTGAAATTTAAAAAAAACAAAAAATATAAACATTAAAAAATGGGGGGTTTTTTAATAAATTAATTTTGTTTTTACCTTGATCATATTCAAATTCGACAATAGTTGAATTCGACCTTGTCGTTAATGATTTTTCCTTTGTTTTATTATCTTCATCATTTGTTGATTGATGGTCATCAACAATTGCTTCTTCTACTTCTTCCACTTCGGATGATTCAATAATTAATTGTGATGATGATGATAATGATGATGATTCGTAGTTTGAAAAATTGTCAATAGTTTTTTGATCATCATTATTTTTGGTAAAAGGATCATTTGTTGTTGATGATGATGATGATTCGTCGTTTGGAAAATTTTCGATAGTTTTTTGATTATCATTATTTTTGGTAAAAGGATCATTTGTTGTTTTCGATTTGGTTGTTGCTTCGAATAAATCATCCGATTTTTCATTTTCAATATTCTGATCATATTCATTTGAAAAATCTAAATGGAAGAAAAAAGAATTGGATTTTTTTGTTGTTGATTAAATTGAAAAAAACAACAAAATAAATGTGTTTTTACCTTCATCATCATTATTATTCGTCAATGTAAATATCGTTCCTGCTGATTGATGGTCATCAACAATTGTTTCTTCTATTTCTTCCACATCCGATGATAATTCGATTGTATTATCCAATTTATTTTCCGATTCAATAGAGAATGATGATAAAGTATTGTTGAATCGTTCATGATAGAGATCACTATCAGTATCATCATGAAGAAAATGATTTTGTGATGATGTTAATTCATCACCATCATCACAATCTTTTTGATCATATTTATTGGAAAAATCTAAATGGAAGAAAAAAAGAATGGAATTTTTTGTTGTTGATTAAATTGAAAAAAAAACAACAAAATGTTTTTCAAAAAATAATTTACCATCATCAATTTTGGATTCGACAAGTATCGATTTTTCTTCTTCTTTTGTTTTATTTTCATAATCAATAGTTGTTTGCTCTATTCTATGAATATTTGTCAAGTGAGCGGTTGCATCATCAACAGTTCTTACGATTGTTTTGCAAAAATCTATATGGAAAGAAAGAATGGAATTTGAAAAAATTTAGCAAGTTGAAATAATCAATTTTTTGGTACAAAATATACATACTGCACTTGAAAACATTTCGAAAATATTTGTTGATTTGTCCATTATTATCATTATTATCATCATCATTATTATCATCATCATTCGAACGTTGACGTTTATTATTTGAATGTTTAAAATAATTTGGCCATGATGGTGGCGGTTGTGGTGGTGTCGGTATATAATTACCGTATTGCGATAATGAATGATGAGACATTTTTGTTGTTGTTGCAGAATCGATTGATTTTTGTTTGGAAAAGAATCAAATTTTTGATTTCAAATATTGAAAAACACAAAATCGAAAAGAAAATCGACATCAAAAATGATCGAAACAACCAAAAAAACAACGACAGTCGAGACGAGAGTAAGAGAGTGAATGATATATCATTCAGTGTATACAGTGTATACACTCAGAAAAATCCGACCACAGAAAATTTTCAGCAGTGGCACAGCGATATGATACAGTATGGATATTGTTGTACCCTTGTTGTTTGTATACATTGCTGTACTGTGATTGGTTCGTACATGGTTCACAGTGTATACACCCTCTCAGTGTATACACCCTCTTTCTTTAAGGCCGAGGACTGTGTAATATCAGTGAAAAGGCAGAAATCATGATGATGAACCTACATGACCAGATGGAGAAAAGTACCGAATATTGTCCTGTAATAGAAGTCGAAAAGAATATGACGCAAATGGGTCTGATCAAAGAAGTACTGAAGAGAAAATATCAGATAGGTGACGAAGATCTAGAAGCGAAAACAATCAAAGCTAAACAAAAAGAGATCAGAATGAATCGAATAATGGAAAAAAACATGCACCGAATATTGTTTGAAAATGAAGATGGACATATCGACACAAAACAGTCATCGCTGTGGCTACGAAAAGGAAATATAAGCCTTCAGGAAGAAGGATCAATATGTAAACTACAAGACCGAAATGTGTTTTTCAACCGGATGAGATGCCCGCATTGCAAGAAAGGCACTATGAGCGTCGAGCACCTAGCAACTAATTGTGGCGGAATGTTAAGTTTCGATTATAAAAAACGTCATGATGATGTTGTGAGATGCATTCACCTCATGTTTGCTAAGAAATATGGACTGTCGAAGAGCAAAAAGCTGAAGAATTACAAAGTGGAGAACGTGATATCAAACGAGAGAGTACGAATCAAGTCGGATGTAGCTGTGATTACGGACAATAGAATCCCAAATAACAAGCCGGACTTGATGATCCACGATTTGAAGACAAACGATATCCTATTGGTGGAAGTAGGAATCACTAGTAAGAGAATATTGCCCAATACTGAAACAACAAAGAGGAGGAAGTACGAATTATTGGCCAACGAACTAAAATCAATGTACGGCAGTAAAGTGATGGTGGCCCCGATTGTGATAACGTGGGATGGATTGGTGACTAGACACCACAGAAAGCACGCGGAAAGTTTGGGGATAAGTGACAAAATCCAAGCATATATCCAAGGTCAGGTGCTGAAGAGAACCTTGGAGAGTGTAAGGATAGACGTCACGAACCCCCAGGACTAGAAGGGGAATTCAACTGACATCCATCGACATAGTGAGACGTGAATGCAAATAATTACCACCACATTGTATATATGATGTTAATTTTGTATTGCTATTTCTGTTTTTATAATTTTCTAAATGATTGAATAAAAATAAAATCGAAATTACATTTAGCAAAAAAAAAACACTTTTTTTCTGTTGTTTATCCATTTTGTTCATTTGGCAAAGAAAAAAAAGTAGAAAGACCTGATCGTTATCACTTGAGAGGGTGTGAACCATGTACGAACCAATCACAGTACAGCAATGTATACGAACAAGTAACATAGCCAGTGATTCAAAAAAAAATCATCGTCATTCGTACGTCTCTTTTTTTTTTTGCTTTCATTCTTTCTCTTACTCTCGTTTTCAACTGTCATTATTATTTTTTTTTTTGGTTAACTTGCAATCATTTTCTTTTCGATCATTTTTGATGTCGATTTTCTTTTTGATTTTGTGCTTTTGAATATTTCAAATCAAAAATTTGATTCTTTTCCAAACAATCAATTGATTCTGCAACAACAAAAATGTCTCATTCATTATCGAAATACGTTAATTATAATTCGTCACCACCACAACCGTCACCACCACAACCGTCACCACCACAACCGCAACGATCATGGCCAAATTATTTCAACCTGTCGTATCAACAACCACAATCGCATCATCAATATAATCAGGATGTTTTGACACATCGACCAGCAAATCCATTTGGAAGACCACCTGCAACAACAAAAATGTCTCATTCATTATCGAAATACGTTAATTATAAACCGTCACCACCACAACCGCAACGACCATGGCCAAATTATTTCAACCTGTCGTATCAACAACCACAATCGCATCATCAATATAATCAGGATGTTTTGACACATCGACCAGCAAATCCATTTGGAAGACCACCTTATCCCGAACAACAACAATATTCACATGCAAACA